CTTCGTTCATCCTCATGCACAAACGGTCTTTCCCTAATGGAAATGTCACCTTGGATTTAGCAGACAGAAAGGCCACAGAGCATCTCAGCCCAAAGTACCATCAAATAAATATAATGGCAGTCCTTGGGTCTCAGATAGCTACGATCCTACAGCTAGAGTCTGCCCATCTTCTGCAACAAGATAAGGAAACCAATTCTAAATTTCTGAATTGTTCCCACTCTGAAAATGGATGGGTTTGATATTCTCCATAGCTCACGATGGCTTGACAAGAGAGGAGAAACAAGCTCCATGAATCTTGCTTCATGTCAACAGCACTGTGACTGATGGCTGAATGTCCTCTCCTTAGGTTGGTGCCTGTCCCCAGTAAGAGCTGTTCAACAGTGTGGATCCACAGTAGATCCACAGTGATCCACTCATGGTTGTTGTATTTGTGGCCCTGCTAATGACAGGGCCATGGGTGGGATCCCCAAATAATAATAATAATAATAACCATCTGATACCCACCTGATCCTGGAATAAATGGCCCTTTCAATAGAAGGAAATGCAAACAGGCAATGGGAAGCTTGAATCATGAGACTGAGAGACCAGGAGGAAAATCAGGAATTGGGATGCAGTTTTTCGGGTACTAGAGAATCTTCTGAAGACAATGTTATCATGGATTGTTGTTGTTTCCCCAGAAAATTGGTGAGGAGTGCAGTTGTTTGACAGAGCCAGCATGGTGGAGTGTGGTGGAGTCTCTTTCCTTGGAGGTCTGTAAACAGAGGCTGGATGGCCATCTATCGGGGATGCTTTGATTGGGAGTTCCTGCATGGCAGGGGGTTGGACTGGATGGCCCTTGGGGTCTCTTCCAACTCTATGATTCTATGATTCCATGGTATAGTGCAGGGGTAGGCAACCTTTTGGAGACCTGGGCCGGTCCCCCAAAGTCCAGGTCTCTGCCAGGCCGAGGGGGGGAATGGCGGCGGATGCTCTCACCCGCGCGCGCGCACCCTCCGCTGCCGCGCGCAACCCCCCGCGCGCGCTGCTTCTGCCGCTGTCGCCGCTGCTGCTGCAGCCGCTGCAGCACAGGTCGCAGCTGCCATATTGATTTCCAGAATGGCGGCTGCGATGTGTTTGCGCATGCACAGTACTCCTGCGCATGCACAAACGCGTCACGGGCACCATTTTGGAAATCAAAATGGCGGTCGCGGTGCATGCGGCTGCACAGACGGCAAAACGTGCGGTGGTGGCGGCAGCAGCAAGGGTCTGCCTGGGCCAGTAAGTCCAGCAACCTGGGCCGGAACCAGCCCGGGGGCCGTAGGTTGCCGGCCCCTGGTATAATGGTTTGAGTACAACTCTGGAGACCAGGGTTTGATTTCTCCCATGGAAACCCACTGGGTGACCTTGGACAAGTCACACTCTCTCAGCCTCAAATGAAAACAATGGCAAACTCCTCTAAACAAATCTTTCAGAGAAAACCCCATGATAGGTTTTATTTTCTTGCTTGTTTGTTTCATTTCTATGCCGCCTTCCTTCCAGAAAGGAAAGGTGGCTCACAAATAAAATCCTTTTAAAACTTTACAATAAGAATTTAAATGACAATTAAAATCAACTAGTTAAAAAAAACAGTATAAAATTACATAAACATACAAAAGTTAGGTTTGCTTTCCCATTCTTGTTGCTGACCTTCAAATCATTTCTGATTTATGGTGACCTTAAGGTGAATTATCATGTTGTTTTCTTGGCAAGATTTGCTCGGGGAGGGTTGCCTTTGCCTTTCTCAGAGGCTGAGAGAGTGCAACTTGTCCAAGGTCACCCAATGGGTTTTCATACCCAAGCAGAGATTTGAACCCTGGTCTCCAGAGTTGTAGTCCAACATTCAAACCACTACACCACACTATCTCTCCCCACTTTTGCCTTAGAGTTGTCACCATAAATCAGAAACAACTTGAAAGCCCACAACGACAGCAACAACTGGTTGTATGACTCCCATTTATCTTTTACTATAGTTGTTGTGCATAGTTATACTTAGAGACTTTTGCATGCATACCTTCTCTTGCAGAAGCAGTTGGACATGGTTGGACATTATAATAATTAATAATAATAATAATTTTTTATTTATACCCCACCCCTCTGCATAGCAATCGGGGTGGCTTCCAACATGAATGCAATACAATAATCCCAAACCCAACCATCCCACCTCATCAAAAGTTTTTCAACAATCACCGATTAAAAACAATATTTAAATTTGGCTAAGCCAACGATTTACAATAAAAATCCGCCATTTCTCAACATGCAGCCCCCCCCCCCCCCGCAGAAAGAACCCATTAGGAACTTTTGCCATCTTGGCCACACTCTGATACTGCTTGGATGCTCATGTTTCAGTTTTCATGGAGAGTATAATTGTGGTTTCTTTGTTGTCCCCCCATTACCATTCCACTCTCTCTAAATTGCCACAAATTTTGGGGAAGAGTGGACTGAAAAATCTTTGGCACCGCCATGCGCCTCTAGCCTGGGATCTTTGTTGTCTGCATTTGTCTGCAACAAAGGAAAATTATTGCAAGAGAAAACAAGACTCGTCCAACTTCACCAATCTAGATTCATTGGCTGTAAATAATTCACAGATACCGTTCTCCACTTGTTATTAATTAAGATCCAATTGAAATCCCTAATATTAATTATTGTTAACATTAAGAAAAGTGTCTAATTTCTGTCAGGTCTCTCCTGTCAGCCTTGAATGTAATTATCCCTTATCTCTCAACACAGCCAGGCCCTGTAAATATAATTATGGAAATGTATGTTTGCTGGAGTGTGAAAAGTAAGTCCATAAAATTAATATTGTATTTATCCTCTTACCTTTAACGGTTATTAAAATGCACCACAGATTGCCTGGCTTCTGTTCTGGACATTTGTTTTGAGTGTTTTTCTTTTTCTTGATTTCTTCAAAGGAGCCCACATTATGAAGAAGATTCATGGGTTCAGTCCAGTCCAATGCAAAGTCAAATCTTGGGAAAGTTAGCTTTTGGATTACCGCTCCCAGAATCCATTTGCCAGCTTGACCAAAGTCCAAATGGTCATCCCCCCCCCCCAGCCTCTGGTCTTTACCCACTTTTGGGTTGTCAGTGTTTGTAAAGACATAAGTCCCATGCAGACTGCCAGCCTATGTCTCCAAATGTCCTCATTCTCACAGGCGGTTTAAGCCTAAAATAGGAATAGCATCTCCCAGCATATTTTTACTTTTTGCTTATCAGTGCAACAAACAATAATTGCAGAAGTACTTCAACATGCAGAGAACCTATGCAGGTAAGTGAAAAGAGGGCCATTGTGGTGTAATGATTTGAGTCTTGGACTAGGACTCTGGAAGACTGAGGTTTGAATCCTTGCTCAGTCATGGAAACTCCACTGCTAAGTTTGTTTGGACAGGTTGCATTCTCACAGCCTCAGAGGAAGGCAATGAATCGCCTCACTGGAATGAAAGTGGACAAAGAAACCTAAGGAGAGGGCTGCCGTAAGTTGGAGCTGACTTGAAGATATCCAGAGCCCAGTGCAAAGAACACCTCATCCATTCATGGAACAGAACGCAGAAGAGAATCAGCATAGTGATCATTTCTTGTCTATTTCAGCAGATTAGGAATGTGAAGATGAAGGCTTTCACAGCCAGCATCTGTAGGGTTTTGTGGGTTTTGGGGGCTGTGAGGCCATGTTCTAGAAGAATGTATTCCTGGCATTTTGTCTGCATCTGTGGCTAGTATCTTCAGAGAATGGTGACATGGAAGTGTGTGGGGTATATATATTGTGTGACTCTTAGTTGAGAGGATTAGCATGTAAATTAGCATGTAAATCTGTGTATTGTTTGTTGAGGCAAGGCCTCAGGGTGGGAGGATAGACACTAATCCTCCTCGCGTATCCTCCCACCCTGAGGCCTTGCCTCAACAAACAATACACAGATTTACATGATAATTTACATGCTAATCCTCTCAACCAAGGATCACACAATATATATACCCCACACACCTCCATGCCACCATTCTCTGAAGATGCCAGCCACAGATGTAGGCAAAATGTCAGGAATACATTCTTCTAGTACACGACCTCACCGCCCAAAAACCCCCTCAAAAACCTGTAGATTAGGAATGGTTTCCAGACTCTGAAACTTTGAAGAAAAATGTTGTAGGGGTTATTTCTAGCATTTTCCTCTCCTCTTGATAAGGATTCTGTCTTTCAATTACGATCCATATTTCATCCAGCTGGATGTGAACTGAGCATCTGCTTTTCCTCACCTCCATGACAAACTACACTAAAATGATGTTATTTATCATTGTCTGTAGGGGTTTTTGGTTCCCCCCCCCTTTTTTTTGGTGGTACAACCTGCTTTTGCATTTCCCTTGCCAAACTGATGTCAGTTGCTTTGACTAATGAGAAGAGAAGCCGGACAAATGAGAAGATCACTGCCAGTTGGTCAGCTTTAGGACCTACCAGGCAGTGGCATCACTAAGACTGGTGTCACCCAGTGTGGTAACTCATAGTATCACCCCCAACACTGACTTTATACCATACTACACCATACAGAATCCTTAGTAATGTTTTTTGTATTGTAATTCATAAATTATAATTCCCATATATCATTGAATGCGATTGCAATTGTTATGACATAAACAACTAGCAAAGTTAATATAATGCCTGCAAGGAGCAGTACATGCAAAAACGATCTGGGAATCTTAGTGGACCACAGGGTGAACATGAGTCAGTGATGTGATGTGGCAGCTAAAAAGGCCAATGCAATTCTAGGCATCAATAGAAGTATATTGTCTAGATCAGGGGTCGGCAACCTACGCCCTGCAGGCCAGATGCAGCCCACGGAGGCCTTCAGACTGGCCCCTG